TCACGCTTATTTTTTTTTACACTACATATCTAAAACGTAATTTTCACAAACAATTTTTCGAAACGTAACGTTAATGGAATAATATTTCATGTTTAATTTTGCCATTTTTTAACTCTCAAATCTAAAACCTCATTTTCATAAGCAATTATCTCAAACCCTACGATTATCCGTTCTGTGGACGGATAATGATAGCATATTTAATTCAAGTTCTTATGCAAAACAACCGTCGAATGTTTTTTTTTTTTTTTTAACAAGACTGAGAATTTTTGAAGAGGAAGTATTTCGTATCATTTTAATGACATGAATGAATTTTTAAGCAAGAATATCATAATACTAGAAATAAAATCTTTCAATTAGTTAAATTTTTTGATAAGTAGATTGCAACTTTTACATGCGAGGGTTGATTTAAAAGTAATATCACAAAGACAATAAAATCTTTAATAATGAAAAGTTTTCATCAAAACTTTGTATACTATTATCTCAATTTATTTGGACTTTTGCCCTAAATTTTCATTCAGATATATGCAATACTTTATGAAATGTTAAAATAAACTCAACACTGTGTCTCGTCTATCGCGGCAAAGCATGAATGTACCGAAGTCGTTATGACGATTCACTTCGAAGCTCGTTTTAAATCTGATGATACACAAGATTTACGCAAAAAAAGAAATGAAATTACATTTGAACAAAGTTTAAATGATTTTAATACTAGTACAACTCAAAACACAACGGTTTATGGCAATTAAGATTATAAAACTGAAGCATGTGGGAGGTTAAAAAAAATTATGTGGATGAACTGAAAATGAGTACCGAAAAGTTACATCATAATGACGTTTGAATGGAAACATTCTAATCATGCAGCGATAGACAAAACCAATCATTGTGTTTGTCATAATGTTTTTAAAAAAGTATTAGATATATTCGAATGAAATGTTCAGGCAAACAATTAGATAGATAGGGGTATTAGGAAGTCAATTCTGTTTATAACGATTGATTATTTAAGATTTATAGCAGTTGAGACATTTCTTTTGTTTCAACCCTTGCATATGTAATTACATGCATTATGTGAAAATTCGAACTGACATTGCTCTAACATTGATATAATCAATTCTTCAAGAAAACTTGTGAAGAATATGGTAAAGACAACATATGGTTTTTTATTATTTTTATAAGCAGATTGCAAAAGCTATTAAGTAAATAAATTATAATGAAAATTTGATGTCATTGTGTTCTATCTAGTGTCATATTTTTCCAATATAAATGTTTTTGTAATTTGCGGAATGACACCCCTTGGGTGTACCTATAAATGCCAAGCTGACATATAACTATGTTGCGAGTCCTTTGCCAAATCGTTTAAGTGTCAAGTTACTAGATTCTGCTTACATAGTTTCACATAAATCAGGTTACTACTTTATACTGTGTGTAGTTGTAAACTATTGTTTCAATTAATAAGACGAAATTAAATAACGATTTACTGTATGTGTACTTAAAAAAGCGGGCTTCATATTTTAGCGGCTTTGGCGCAGACAACGATGCGCTAATTCATGAATACCGCTAAGAAATCATTAATAAATACAATATACGGCAAGGACATGTACAGCGCTAATTCATAATTTCGCCAACAACTCCATACCCAGTCATTGCGCTAAATTTTGAATACACCAATTTATGTACATGTACAGTATTTTCAGCAATTGTTTATTATTGAATATGAAATTTTTGGTTTCAATGGGAGAAACAAAAGAAATTTTATCGTACTTTTGTTGTCTTATTTTTTTCAGCGTAAAAACTGTGTACTCCATTCTTTTTTTAACATATCAGATTTATATAATGATAACAAGATTAGATATAGCAATAGAAAAAAGCACAGTTAACATAACGTATCAGTCGTATGTAAAGACAAAAAGAATCAATATATATTTATTTTATATATTGCATTTTAATTTTAAACATAAGAACCTTTAAAACCAGACATTAATTCTGACAGCCTATTGATATGAATTGTACATATGTTTATTTACTACTTGTTATTAAAAGAGTTAATTATTTTGAGAATTTCATCGTAGAATAAAGTTCCAGGGCAGTTTGACAACATTCTTGAAGGCGTTGATGATACAAACTTTCCCATTTACAGACCGTGTCTGGATCAATTGACAAACCATTAAATCACTGAACAGTCCAAAAAGTAGGATTCGGTACATATCGAACTCTTCAGCTCAGGTACACGAGTATCTAAACATTTGATATTACAGTCTGCATTTGGTTCAAGAATTTTTTTTTTAAATTAAACATCACTTAAGCTAATAAGTCTAAAGCTAGTTTGAAATACACGTACATACATTTTATACATTTCATCTTTTAGTTCGATGTCATTTGTTTGTAAATTAGAGAAAAAACTTTCCCAGTGAATAATTATAAAATGTTGGTTTTTTTTTTAAATGTAACCAAACATGGCCCACTTTGTACAATTATTGATATGGTTGTCTTTAATCTTGATTACACCTGCTTTAGGTCAAAGCAAAAGTTCCTTTGGGCATCAGAATTGCTTTTTAAGGACACTCTATTATATCTCTAACCCAAATTAGCATTACACGCATTCATATGCTCCCAACGTTTTTCTGGGATAATTGCCCGTCTTCCTCAATGCTCAAAATCAAAATTTCTTGTTCAACTTTAAATGTCAAACCCAATAAATCAGCATTTTGTGCAATTTTTAACAATAGTCAATGTCAAGTTTGTGCATTTATTTTTCCTGAAGGATCTAAATTGTAAAGGAATGTCTTTACAAATTTATTATACAAGGGCTGTTCGAAAAGTTCGCGGACATTATCAATATTTAATTATATTCAAGAAATTCAAGATCAGCACATTATCTTATGTAAAAATATTTATTTTGTTGATGTGTGAAGTGCCATTCCCTAAATAAACGATTACATGGAAATAGTGTTACTTAATTGTAAAACTAACACGTTTGTTACCATGGCACACTAAATAGCATTGTAACGTCAAAATGAGTTTCTCAATACATTATACTCGTACAGTCTGGCACCAAACCCACATATTAAAAATGCCAACTTTCGAACAAGCTTTGTGTGTTATAAAAGCAAATGTGCAACTGAAATTACCTTGTCAGAGAGGACTTGCGACAAAAGTCAAACCAATTATCAAATTAGTTCTCCAAAATACATGAGCTTAAAAACATATTTTCAGGACGTAAGTTATATCATGTGTATGTGTGTTGTTTAATTGTTTGTTCGGATGTATGCACTTCTGTTCACAAATTAATTTGAGAGAAGTCACTAATTTTCATGGGCGATTAAGCTTCGTTATTTTTAAGTTATGGAAAGACCCATGAATTCATGTCTCTTATGAAATGTTAAATCACAATATTGATCTACTTACCTTGAAGTAAAATCCCCACGAACCAGGGTTGGGGTAATTGAAATAAGTAATTGTAATTTACTGTATTTAAAGACATTTTTTCAAAGTAATTGAAAGTATTTGTAATTGAGTTTGTTTTCAATTACAAGTAATTGAATGTATTTAAATACATTCCAAAAATGTCATTTCAATTACAGTTCAAATACTTTATTTTTCAAGTTACATATTAAAAAGGTGTTTTATCATAATGCATACCAGTTTATGTTTATTCGATAACTAAATGTACAGCATAAACACACTGCCCAGGGCAATAAGAAAGGTCAAATTTAATAATATCGCTGCTTCAAAATATTCATGTATTTGTTCGTCAAAATTTTTGGAAATAAAAATGAAGTAATTGATATGTATTTAATTACATTCCTCGAAGTTATTGAGGGTAATGAATTACATTTGTTAAAATCAATTTAATTGTAATTGCAAGTAACTGACAAAATTATCAATGTATTCGAAAGTATTTAATTACATTTCAAAGTAATTGATCCCAACCCTGCCACAACCTCATTTTTTTTTCCTCAAACACGAAAATTTGACCCACAAAATAAGTGATTTCTATTCAAAATATTATCACAATATAGTTAAATCATTTATATTTTGTGGGAGATATAGATAGACATCTTTCCTTATGCAATTTTCAAGGTATACTTTCACAATATCAGACCTAATGTTGGGTAAAGTAGGTGGGATAAAGGAGAAGAATTCTACAAAGAATGTCTAAGACATCATTTATCTTTGGATTTATCCCCAGAAGAAGTTCATAACACAGGGTGAAGAAGTGGAAAGGATTTTTATGCAATTAAAAAAGAAGGTGGCATATTTAATGTATTGAGAATAATACACACATTATCGTGTTAAAGTACTCTTCTTTTTAATATTTTATCTATTTTATAATTACAGGTCAATTTGAAACTTTAAAACACCAAGGTTCTGTGAAAGAATTTTTTGATAAAGTTAAAGCAGACCACAAAGCGGTGTAAGAATACTTTGCATGACTAATAATCATACAACTTTAAGTTTGCAATGTCATTTTAAGGTTATATATATATATATATATATATATATATATATATATATATATATATATATATATATATATATATATATATATGTGTGTGTGTGTGTGTGTGTGTGTGTGTGTGTGTGTGTGTGACAGGATCTTCTATGTTTCTTTATAGAGTGGTAAAAGAACGTAATTCAGAAAGAAATCAAACCAAATTTACCAACTTTGTCTAAAGAGCTTTAATATTCAATAGTGTAAGCAGACATGTACATGTATAACACATTGTGCAAATTGTTTTCATTGAAAATATTCTGCATTTAATCTGTTTTCAGGATATATGGAGTAATTGTATAACCATAATTCATTCATTGTTTCTATATTATCTATATATGAGGCAAGGCAATTCTAAACAAAATTGTATTGAAATATATGTCTTATTTTACATTTTATCCGCAAAGATTTTTTTTTCAAATGTGAATGTTCATTTGAAAACCGATAATCAAGCTCTTTTCCTCATGGAAAATAGAAACTGATTAAAGCAAATAAAGAAAAATCTTGCTTGAAAAGGTTCAAAATAAAATGCAAAAACAGCATAAAATTTGGTGATTCTAGGCCCAAAAGATACAGGGTAACGTTTACGAGAATTGTTTTGATTTTTGCCATTAATTTTATTTTACTTTAAGTTTCAAATTTTGACTGAAGAGATTTCCGTTCTGTATATTTTGAAAGAAAGTACCCTTCCTCTTAATATATTAGAAAACGAAGTCGATCATTAGATTAGAATGGCAAAGCAAAAAGAGGGAGAAACAACAAATCATTGCACTTCCGGTGGATTCAGAATAGATGCTTACCTTGAGAAATTTCAGATAATTTTACATTCATTATGAGTCATTATTTCTTAAATAATATAGAACTGTTTCTTTATATCCGCATTCCTTAATTACTAGAATATGCTCTTTCTTTTTTATAACGAAGGGAATAGTTAAGTTCTTCATGCTTTGTTACTGAAAATTCTTGTAATGCTGTTCAATATTTAATCTCCCTACCGCCATGAAGGCTCAAACTCAACTTGAGTAAATACTATGTGACAAAAGAACATTTTAGCTGAATAAGGTCAATTTTTCAAAATTAAGGGTTAACAGCAATATTCTACAATAATTACATATCATTCATTTTATCTTATTTTATTTACAAGTTTCTTGTAACATGATGCATATTTCTATAATCTCATGTATATTCCTTACAAAATACTTTTACGTGCAAAACTTTGTATACATATAATAATTGAAAGACAACACAATTCATGGAATTCATTGTAAAGAAAAACAAACAAGTCCATTGAAAGAATGAAGCCAATGTACGACATCTTGCTTATTATTAATCATTAATATGAATGTTGCAACCAATTCTGAGATAACTAAAGGCAAGCACCCAGTCAAGACATATGATTTTTTTAGTTATTTATTTTTGTGATCTCTGTTAAAGTATTCTCAGTTTAATACGTATTATCTCACTATTGAATGTTCAACAAACAATTAACCAGAGTACGTTCATTCTTCAAGATAAATTTACCTGATCTCATTTATAAATAAAAACGCAAGAAAACTAGTATAACACATAGTTGTGCCACATGTTTGTTGTTCACATTGGAAGCTCCAGATGAGAGAGGAGTCGCCTTGACTTCTTCAATCCATTCCTCGACTATCATCTCTAGCACTGACATAGGAACAGCTCCATTGTTAAGAATAATAGAATGGAAATCTCGGAGGTCAAATTTAGTGCCTGTAACAATGACATTTTTTTCCTGACATTTCAAAGAAGATTTATAAAGATTAACAATCTAAATATGATCGAATTGTACCTGATTTGCAGCTAATTAAATGTGGGGGTGATTGTAACTGGAGTACCTAATTCAGTCTCTGCTTTTTTTCGGAGATCCTTGATCTTAATTTCGCCTATTTTGTACGCACATGCCTGTCCAGGCCACGTGATGTATCTATTGACTTCTATCTCCGTAGCCTCGTAAGAATAAGCTGTATAGTTCAGCATGTAATCAATAGCCTTCTGCTTGTCCCAACTAACAATGATAAAAATGACAATATATAATTTATAAAACAAAACCTCCTCTGTACACATTTTTATTTCTTGAAAACTGTATATTCAGGCCCGTAGGAAGCAAATTCACTTTGAGGGGGCACATCCATACATTTTCAGTTGAGGGGGCACTAACAACTACCAAAATTCATTGACAAGCAAAAAAAAAAAGAACAAGAAAAAGTTCATCAGACATTATTATTGAGGGGGCACAAGCATATAGTAGCTAAGTTTTCTACAGTATTCTATATATCGGCAAAATTATTGCGGGTGGGGGGTGGGGATGGGGGCACGCCCCCTCCCCCCCGTGCCCCCCCCCCCGGTTCCTACGGCCATGAATATTTTCGCCAGAGCTTATGTTTATACTTACTTGTAGTAATGTAACCCTGTGTCAACAACAAGTCTGCAGGCTCGAAGAATTTCTGCACTGTACCGTCCCATCCTTAAAGAAATAGCTTAGCAATTCATGTTATTGTTGTTGTTGTCGTTTTAATTTTAAGCAATGAATGAAATATTATTTTCCTGAATTTTTGAAAATAAAAGTCGAAGCTACTCACAACTCATAGTCGTCTTTATATAATCCCATTTCTACTCCAAGATATTCTGAATATAACGCCCATCCCTAAACAGATATTGTGGTATACATGTATATATTTTCAATCAAAACATTTTTCGATGACCAGCCTACGATCTTTCTTTTTAGACAAAAACCTACGTTTTGGGTTACTTTGACTTGTATATGTAATGCATCTCTGCATTGCCATGTTTGTATTGTTTGGTTGCTTGGTAAATGAAATTAGAAATCGACGTTTCTTATTCTGTTTTAAGTAAGCGCTTCGAATGCATGCGACCTCAGTTTTGACGAAAGCAAATAAATTTAGGGATACTTCATTGATCGAATCTAGGTTGAAGACCGATATTTTGTATTTTAAAGTGATGACATTGGAACTGTAGACGAGTTACATTTACAACTTTTTTTCCAATTCGAAAGATAAAAACAAGAAAAAGCCATTTAAAATTTATATTTACTTATAAATGATATGATAAACCGTGTACCTCAGAGTAGGCGGAATACCATGGAAACCAAACAGGAACATCGTAAAAAGATAAGGGAGTGTGCCGTCTGTAATCCGGTAGATTTGCCTTCAGTGCGTAACTGTGCTGTTGTAGTAAAAATGAATGTGTAAAATTTATCTAGTGACATTCTTACATATCAAAGAAAAAGGAATTTTTCATGGATATAATGTTTATTTTTCATAGATATAATATTATCACCTGTAAATGATGTCCAGGGCTAGCTTCGTGAAGACTCAGAGCCATAAAATCAAAGAAAGGGCTGGAAAATAAAAATTATTTTAAACCAATTCAAGATCATTAGATCATATTTTCCTTTGGTATTAAAATAATATGTTTCAATCTCATGATCATTTGAAGAATAATTACTTCTCCAGTGGCCTGAATAGGTTGATGGAAAATACGCCAGGATATTCCTCTGTCGCTGATGAGTAACCTCCCCCTGGACCATCATACGTCATCTTCCTTATTCTTTTAAGGAGGAATAACTATAAACCGTTATCACAAAGCAAGGGATAGATAAAATAAAAACTCGAAATAATTTAATAAAGCCATGCATAAAAATAATCAGAAGCAATCGGTACTTACTCAAGGGGTACATCTGGTATATTTTTAAAGAATTCCGGTAACTTTGGGTTAATTCTGTTGAAGACAATATCGTTGTATTCTGCTAAAATAGTCTCCTGTAATGACGAGTGACATATTTTTGATTATTTGTTGGCATCAGAGATAATGAAAATAAAAATATCACTTATAATTTGTTTTTTGGCTTGTGCTATGGAGAAAATACGTTATTCTATTAAGTGATGCCTTTCGTTGATATTTATTAGCAAAAATCTGCAACGTATAATATAACGATACACAAGTGTCAGTTAGCTTACATTTGCAGTTTGTCCCTCTATAAGAAATATTAAAATCAAACTTACAGAATTGTTTGAGTAGAACCGAGAGTCGTTAACAAGACTGTTAAAGAAATCTTTCACCGTGCCAGTATGACCAAGTTTTTGCATTGTCTGCAGAAATAAAATGAAAGTAGAACTTACAAACGATAAGAAGAACCATTCAGAGTTTCCAAATTGAAAGAATATATTTTTATAGCTTAGAAAATCCTTTGCTGGGAAAAGTTCTCAATTTCATTTTTTTAAATAATCAGTTTTTAATACATGTAAAACTTATTACATGATGCATTCTTATGTCATACGTTAACAATGTGCTAAACGTTCGGAAACGGAATACCTTCTTCATCTCTCCATGAATTCTTTCCACTTCCTGTTCTCCCACTTTATGAACTTCTTCCGGTGTCATGTTGAAAGACAAGTGCCAAGTCAGGCATGCACGATAATAATCAGAACCGCCTTGCAGACTGTTGACACCATAATGTGAACGAGTATTAGGCATGTATTCCTGGGTAATGTAATGGACATGTTATCGCAATGTCTTTTGAAATTATTATATGCAAGTCTCCTATAATAAATCTATCAATAATTTTCTTTTCAAAAAAACCTGCATTGTGAAGCTGTCTTTCTTACATTAATTATAAATTCTTTGATTTTTCGGTATGCTTCAATCGTCCTATTTACAGCTTGGAGCCCTCTTTCTCTAATTCCTGTTCTACAAATGGTAAAGATTAATTCTATATGAAACTAGACCGCAAAAGACACAACTGTGCAATTAAAAATATGAATAACCATTTTGAATGGAATATTAATGGTAATCAAATATTATAAGTAAAAGTATCGTTATTTTAAATCTGATCATTGGTTAAGTATTTCAAGACGGTTATTGCCACTCACTTTTCATTTTCTGGTATACTAGCAGCATTCGTTAAGGAGTTGTTAAAGGGTGAGTAAAATGAGGATTGTATTGGTTCCACTAAAAACTTATCTATCATTGCTGGAACACCTGCCTGAAAAGGATTTATAAGTTTTATGATTTTTCTATTAACAACTTCTCCCGTGTGTCCCGATAATATTTTGACTAAAAACAAAATTTATTAAGAACAGGCTATCCTTGGCTGATCTATACCTATGATTAGTTTTAAGTAAAATGCAAAGTAGAATGTAATTTGTTATCAGAATGCTAGAAAATCAGCAGTTAAAAATACTTTAACAAAAGTGAACTATTCGTCATCTGTCTATTTTTGAACAGTTTCATTGCCATCTTCCTAATGCAAAATTAATGTAGATGTCGAAGAGATACATTGTTTTTTCAATGATTTCCTCCTTTTTCGTTTTAGTTATATACAAGAGACCCAAGGGCCTTAACGGTCACCTGAGTATAATACATCACTGTAACGGATCCACAGAAGTATGAAATAAAAACAAAATAAATTGATTAATGAGTATGTTTGCTAAATACACAACAGCAGAGAAGATTTTCAAAGAAATAATGCATTTTCACTATACATGTTTCATCCATAGAGTCCTGCCCTAACACAAGAACCCCGACCAAGGGGCCATGAATTTCACAAATTTGGAAGAGAGATCCTTGTTCATTATAACCATGCAGTTTGTCTGCTTAATACTAGTACTCGAGGGCAAAGAAGATTTTAAAAAAAAAATGCATTTTCAGTATACAATCAATAGAGCTCCTCCCTAACACAAGAACCCCTGATCCCGGGGCCATGAAATTCACAATTTCGGAAGAAGCATCCTTATTCATCATAACTATGCAAGTAATTTGTCTGCTTAATTCCCAGCAGAGATTTTAAAAGAATTTATGTATTTTTACTATATGATCAATGAACCCCTCCCTAACACCAGAACCCATGACCAATGGGGAATGAATTTCACAATTTTTGGACCATGTATTTAGTCTGTTTGATTAATACCTAAAAGAAATAATACATTTTCCATATTTATCAGAGAGTTCCATCTTAACACCAAAACACCTGACCCAGGGGCCATTAATTTCACAATTTAAGTAAGGACTCATTTCTTGTTATAATCATGCCAACAGTTTGACTGCTTGATGACTGGGCGTAAAGAAAGAGCTTTTTAAAAATTATATTTCTTTATGGTTTTGGCCCCACCCCTAAGGGAGAGGGGCCATGAAATTGCCAATTTTGGTTTCTCTTGACTTATAGATGCAATGTACCAAAATAAGTTAGAAATGGTTAAGCTGTTCATGAGAAGAGATGAATCCTGAATCCGTAATTTTGTTATATACAGTTTATTTCCTCCCTTTTTTCCTACTATTTTTGACAGAAATTACTTCTTTTATATGAAAAAAAAAAATATTTGCGACAAGCGTTGTTCTATAATGTTAAAATGTTTCACTGTTACTTACAACTGATACGTTGTGGTACGTTCTGTTCAGTCGAATTGCTTCACGAAATGTTTCCTCTATTTCATCAATCTAAAGATGCAACAGATTCAGTAAATAATGAAGCTGAACAAGCGACGTGCATATATTCATAAATCATACTTTTCAAGTTCTTTCGAAAATTACTACAAATATTTATATTAATTTTCATGAAAATTGGGAAAATAGACCTTGTTAACGTACAACATAATGAACATATTTTATAGACAGGAGCTTTTAACCTGGTGGGGTATTGCATTCAGTCTAGCGATATAATTTTCGAAATCTCCTCTGGAGTTTGATGACGCTTTTACAGCACTTGTGTATAGCTGGACACCCTCCAGAAAATTCATCGGATTCAGCGCGCCATACCTGTTATTAATAAACATGTGAAACAAGAATTATTTGGCATCATTTTCATTTTTTTAAGAATTTTTCCTATGATGGAAGAAAGCTTCTGTAAGATTTTACCAAACAAATATAGAAATACCTACTTTTAAACATATTTGAGCATGTCTGCTACCATATGTCCTAAATGACTACATACCAGGCCCATTGAGATCCATTAATATAAGTCTCAAACGTATCTTTTAGAATGAGGTAGTTGATCCTTTCTGAGGAGGATATATTTGAGCTTATAGCATTGAGTCTGTTTAGAAATCCTTGTGTTTTATTCTGAAAACAGCAAAAACAGTTGCCTTACTCTCATGCTGCCATTTTGCATAAAAGATATTCATATCTTATTTGACATATTTAATCTATTTGATGGCCAAAATGTAAGGGGGAGATTTTTTAACTCAATCATGAAACCTTCAATTTTCTCAAAGAGCTCAAATAATATTTAGACCCTAAATAAGTATAAGCCGACGAACCTTTCTAACTTCAAACATGCTTATGTCGTAGGAATAAACTCGATCATTATTGGCGTACAGTCCAATATAAGTACCATATTCTGGTTCGTTCTCCATACGCCAGGACCAATATTCTTTCTGTATTTTCTGAATCGTATCTACTGCAGCTATAAACGAAAAATATACTTTTGTATTTCCTAATATGCTAACTTCTTTTCTAAGTTTCTTTAAATCTAGGTTTTAAATTTTTTCAGTTACTGCAATATGCACATTTTGTATTATGTATTTAAAACTATACGCTAGAGTTATATTTAAGTGAATAATTTCTAATGTTAAAAGATAAACTTTACAAAAAAAAATATTCTAATATAATTATAATTATTATAATTAATATAGAATTATTATTATTATTATTATTGTCAAATTCTTAAAACAAAGTTCTGTCTCCGGATTAACTTTTACATTAAAAATAACAAATGTTAATATGAGAATTTATCAGAGCCCTCCTTATTGTCATCTGCCAGAAACTTCATTTATAAAATGCATGAAAGCATTCTTAAATAGTTATCATACTGGGTACTCAACAACCTCTTGCTTACCTTTGTCAGTTTTATAATGGCTGTAAACAGCTACAAGTATATAAATATATCAAACTGAAACTACCTTGTACGATTTATGGGTAGAACTCCAATGAAAATTACTTTGTACATGGAAATATCATCGACAATGAAAAATATTGTTACAAATTAGCTTACCTTTTCCAAATATCATTAAATCAAACACAGAAATGGCCAGCAAGAATATCCCAATCTGAAATGTACATAATTTGTTAACATCTGTAGATCTTGGTGATGATGTAAACCAAAAAAAAAAATCAAAACTTCTATTTAATACCCTTTATAGAAACTTCTTAAGGATATCCGCTCCTCAGCCTTAAAATTGTTATTTAATTTAAAAAGTCTCAAAATGAAGCTTAAAATTGAAATCTTTTCTTCCAGCAATTTTCATTTCATGCATCTCAATATGATTCAATATGCTTTGAAGTCCTTGAAACGGTCTTGTAAAAAGTTCACATTGTACCACATAAAAGTACAAAAATAAATATTTTTAAAGAAATCGAATTTCCTTTAATCTATAGCCTTAGATATCAATGTTTATTAGCATGATATGAAATTAGAAAAGATCTGTGATGTCTTGCAATGATAGCACAAGTTTTTTACACTATGCACTATATAACAATTAAAGTAAATAGAAGAACTAAAGTACCGTATAAGTATGAAAAATATGCAGTTTTCTCCAAATGCCTGAATACCTACACATGATTCTAAAATAAATTTTTTGATCAAATTTCAATTTGAAAATGCATGGTAGGTGTTTTATTTCGTGTTTCCTGAAAATATATTTGAGATTGAGGTTTGATAATTTTCCCTACATAACATGATTACCTATGTTGATGAACTTCGAAGAAATACCATTGGTAAAAACACAATACTTTGAGAATTTAAAGACATTTTTGTGAGCATTTTCAATTCCTCAAGTCCTGATTTTCAGAACCTGAGGATCGAACTTCCTTAAAGGCTTTTGACCTTTGCATAGTATTTCACATTTTAAAACTAAAAAAAAGGATAAAAAGGATATAAGAAACAATATAAACAATATTGTTCATGTATTAAACATTAATCATGCTCTGGGGAAAATTAGTTTCGACAAAGAGCGGGTGTTTCAAGAAGCTATGAACAGCAATCCCTTTGGTCTTTTTTTCGAAACAAACACGAAGTTAAAAAAAGTTCGAACTAAAAGTATCCCTATTTCATACTTAATAGACAACTATGTATGGGAATTACAATAAATTTTGTTTATATTTCATTGATTGCATCATAAATCATAGAGAAGTTTTATCTTTTTATTTTAAATTCTACATAGATTTCCTGAAGAAATTGCATTTAATCATATCCCTTGATTGTTATAAGAATCTTCAAACATAATAGAGATAAAGACAAAATCTCACCTTATTCATATTGTTACCCGTTTCCTTATCCTGTCACAGTGTGCAAAGGTAAAAACAGTATCGAACATTTAACGATAGCTGTATAAAATTTAACCAATAAATTCATGATAATTAAGAGTGTCACAAATGTTTACTCTTGGGTAAATTTACCTACATGTAGGCTAATAGTAGTAATAAAGTGCTCAGAAACAATCTCAGGTAACTGACTGTTTCTGTAATAAGGGGGTTGCAGATTTTAGCTGCGAAATGACAATACTTGAAATTGTCCTAAACGAGATTTTCGTCATTTTTTACACCCACTCAGAAACTTGGGTATAGATCAGAATTATAACGTTTCATTACTTTCTCAATGAAATTTCCTTACTCGAAACAAAGCAAGTGAAGCAACACCATGGGACTTCCTTTCAAATAATATTTTGGCACTTTTTTAAACATAAATTTGGACAAAGAGCATTTAGTATAACACAAGAAATTAACAAATGTGAGATGATTAAAATCAAATACATATTGACATTCTTTTAAAGCCGTTTTACAAAGGTGGAGTTAAGTTATTCTTTGATTTCATTAATAAAACAAATGCATTTATTTTTTTCCCCCTTAAAGTTGTTTCAAGTCATATTTATTAATCAATTCATTAATTATCATTAGTATTTCTGACATTTTCATCAACTGGTTTGCAGAATATGACAAATACTGTCCCATCCAAAGGACAACTTAATGTATTTCGTCTTAGACTCGTATATCTTTTATCTTAGACGCGTTATAGCTATAACAATAATGCTAGGTATCTTGGAACCTAAACTTAGCTCCTAGCGATAACATTAGTTAACAATAATGCTAGAGATCTTAAAGTTCACATAATTAACACATCAACACTACCGGCGATATATATATATATATATATATATATATATATATATATATATATATATATATATATATATATATATATATATATATATATATATATATATATATAAACCTGAATGCTAGATATCTTACAATTTAAAACTATATTTTAAAGCTACCGGAAACTTTTGCTACCTTAATGTCAAAATCTAGACAAATAAAGATAACTCTGGGTAACAGTAATACTAGGTAGCTTGCTATCACATAGCCAAAAGCTATTTATGTTGTTAAATAATCTTATCTGAGTATATCTCTAATCTTAGTTCAAACAGTCTAAATTTAGTCAAAACTGAACTTCTATTCTATTTCTTTTTCAATCAGAGATTTACCTTATATATATATATATATATATATATATATATATATATATATATATATATATATATATATATATATATATATATATATATATATATATATATATATATATATCATTATATATATATATATATATTTATTTCAAGATTAAATTGATCTACTGTCAGTTCAAAAGTTTGAAATTATCATGAACTACTGTTTAGTACTACATTTTTTTATTTACGAAAATTCTCTTAATACTACTGCTCATGATCATTTTCTTTCGTTGTTTTAAATCTTTTGTGCTCATTATTTACTGTTTTCTTTATAAAAATATCTCTCATACTCAGAATTTGTGTGAAACATTAATAGTTAATGATAATTTCTAGTTTACTCTACTTGAAGTTTTTTAAGTAAATTAAAACATAGCTTGATGTTATGAAAATATTTTGAAATCATACGTGAAAGATAAATGTTTGGACCATTTAAAGACATGAAAATTAAATCAGATTCCCCTAAAAAGACTGTGATTTCAATACCTTCTTGAGTCGATTGATACTGAATTTCATTTTTTTTAATGCATGTAATAGTAATGCACAAAAGTTAGTCTTTAATAAAAACAACGACGACGACGATTCTTGTTTTGCAAAGTTGTATTTATTTAATACTAAGTCTTTATACATTGAGAATAATTACAATATGGTTGGTCTTTTACTTTTCCGACACTTAAGGTAATATTTTTTTCCTGCATCTACATGTTTAGGATGGAATTATTATTGTTTAACAATATGCTTTCATACGTGTTTCAGTATATATCATCTTTAAAATGCGATAGTTGTATCTCCGCCTATTTTACCATATAAGGACTGTGTTATCTAGTCGGTGACGTCACTCAGTATATAAAAGCAAACACTGTCTGTTGTTCTACCTTTTGCATTCTTACTCTGAATGAATGCACACTGCTTTTGCGGTGTTAAATATGTCGGTAATTTTTCTGATTCGAATTCTGATTTCCTTTACTATTAAATAAATATTTTTTATGAGCAAGTGTAATTATGAAAAATTTGCAATAAAATAGTTTTCAAAGTTTCTGCTTATATGTTGACATTAATTATCAAAATACACATACCATAACAAATATTTTAACAATAAGTCTGTTTACAGTTTAATTGGTTATAGTTTATTTATTATATATATTTTTTATATATTAATAATTATACAGATTTATAATACGTTTACATTGTTGTATATGTTTCAAATTCTTGTCATACCACAGAGTATACGAGCAGACGAGAAATGAGATACAGGAACCAACGATGAGATTTGATCTCCTTATAATGTGTATTACAGCAAGCGAAATTCACAATGATGTATTTTTACTTTAATCTTGTCCAAAATATGTGTCATTTTTTAAGAGTGTTTGTTGTATGTGTATTATATAAATTTCAGAGTTTACATACAATCTCAAACTTTGTTTGGTCACATGAAAATGTTACCTTGGACATTAGTCATTTGCAACGCCATTCCCAGACGTTTTATTGACTTTTGAAAGTATGTCATTAAGTTGGTTTACCTATGGTGCAAACCCTGTCCCAGTTTGTAACACGATGCCCTTTATTCGTTTTTAATGTTGTCAACAAGCCTATTTCTGCAGAATCAGATTGATAAATGACGGTGTTTTTAACATACTTATAAATATAGTATTTGATGGGAGTAATTGTGGAATGCTCCATTTTTTAAACAAAGTAGTTTGTGCATTATATTTGTCTGAATGAAAATGCGTAATAATTATGCAAGGTTTAAATTTCGGCACAGGCTAAGATAAAGATGAGTCTACAGTTGTAATCAAAATTTTATACGAGTTTTAAGCTGTTTGAGTGTTATACTGTTTTCCAGTAATGTTTTCATTAATCTTTTTATTATCTTTTAACGTTAAATTCAGATAAAATGATTTCTATGTATTTACTTACGAAATAATGACAAAGGTTTAAAGGTATAGCACAGAACAGACGGTGCTTTTTGCCTTTGTTGTTCAAAACAGTAGTTGACTCAAATAGTCATACTCTGACGAATAAAACGACGAAAACTTACATGAGATTCGATTTTCTACATCACTAACAACTTATCTTTCACAAATGAGCGAAAAAAAACATACCGAAATTAAGGAGACCGATGACAGAAAACTTCTTTTAACAACATACTGTATAAAGCCTCAATTTTGAAATTTGAATTTTTTTAAATTTTTTTTAAAATAAAACCTTTTCCCCCATAATTTTGAATCTGTGATTACCGGGTATCTGGCCTTTATCCGTTAAGTATCTCATACTACATGACTTTATTCTAATAACACTAACATAAAATTACCTCAAAAATATCCCTACATTAGTAAACTAAAATACAAAATCTTACAGTGTATTGATTTAACAGAATACCAAGAGACACGACACCTCTTTAGATTCATTTTGCTCTTACAATGACCAATCAACATCGACTGTCCCATAATTCTGAGTTATTTTCTTTTGTTTATCTAAAAAACGCATTCAGACAAATTTATTTCGCAAGCCTTCACATTGTTTACAAGACAGTTTCTTAAACTCTTTTTGAAGTCGTGTTCTAGAACATCTAAATAAATTGCAATTACATGCAGAAAATTGCGGTAGTTATTTTTGCTCATCGTCTGTAGAGATAAAAGGTCAGGTTTTTGAAACGTATAAAAAGGGAGAACCCTCTTCTATCTCAACACAGTACACCTTGCTTTTCCACAGTCTACAAACGTCTTACGCAGGAAAAGGTAGTTATTTTTCATACGTGTTTTTGTAATATTACTATTACAATTATTATTATAATGTCTCGGTATAGTTTTTCAAGTATTTAAAATTCATATTTCTTTATGTGGTGTTTTGTGTATACATTTTTTTTACTTTGATTCCTACGAGTTTTTGCGTATTTTCGATAGGAAATCGTAGTAACATAGGGTACTTTAAATAGCAATTATTAGATGGACCCGTATGGGTTTTTTTTTTTTATCTTTTTTGTTTCATTCTAGAGATTCCCTTGTCATAAATTGAGTAAAATTATGCCTTTTTTAATTAAATTAAATTCAAAAAGTGTCATGCTGCTTTCTTAAATATCAAAATAACTTTTTTTTTTAATGTATTCTTTTTCATTTAATACAATATGTAAAGATAAAGCTTTCTAGAGTGTAGTTTAAACTAAAAGGCATTTGAATATGTTTAATTTTCATATTTTGTCTTTCAAATAAGCATTGTATTGCTTCAACTTAGAACAGATATCAGAAAAGTTCAACGAAATTTAAAGCTTATTGAACTGCATTTGTGGTAAACAATTATCCAGAGCAAAATTAAATTTTAATTTTGAGAACTCCTCGTGCCTGTTTGGAAATACACAGATTTGTCAAAGTTAATTCATTTAATTTGACTATTTGGTTGTCTGTAATTTTGTCAATTTTTATCTATTTCTTTAATAATTCAATTTAATTTTAATTATTATTATTATTATGATTCTACTGTTATATTTCATAAGAATATTTATGAAAGATACTTTAAAACAAAAAAATAATATACCGGTATAGCTATACTTTTAGATTAGAAATATCTATCTCATACAACTTATAATCAATCATTTAATAATAAACCAATAAAATAATCAATTATAATATTATTTTGGTGAGCTGTTTATTTTGGTTTATTTTGCAGACTGATTTTTGATTGCTGTTTTTTTTATAACTGAGGCCACCAGACAATTTAAAATATTCTCATCTTCAGTAATATTCAGATTTCCTAAATTGTAATGAAAGCTTAAATTTATGGCATACTTTAATTTTCAAATCGGTAAATTTCACACTCTTCATAATGCACTATTACATGCACACTTCTGACTACATACTGTAAATTCCTAAATATACACGGGAAATATATTATCACGTAATTTTGCGAGAAGCGTCACTCGCGAAATAAAAATACTCGCTTTTATTTCTAGTTAGCTAAAATACACATATAATATCTTTATCAACAGTCAACACGAGAATTTATCTCCTCGAGATTTTGACGTTTTCAAGTCAAGTCGATATTAAGTATACTCGGGTAAAATGAGGAATGTACAGTATAGATGAATCTTCTTCAACCTATATAAGCTTCAAAAAATGATATAAAACGTTGATTCTTATAAATAGTTCAAAAATCTATTTATAAATTAAGCATAGGTTGTAAAATCATTAACAACAGAATTATGAGGAGGAATTAATTTAAAATTACAAAAGGATTTTCAAAATAAAAGATCATATATTGAAATATGTAACTTACAGAAATGAATTCCGAGGATCATGAAGCATTTCAAACCAATGCCAAGGTTTTCTCCGGTGGTCTGAATAAAATACAAGTCATCGATTACTACAACACATGGGATGGATATGAACAGGTTGGTACATGATCATGATACATTGTTAAATTTTTAATTTTTATCCAAAATACTTGATTAAAATCATTAATGTTCTGAAAGTTTATTCAACAAAATCTCCAACCACTGAATATTTGTTCTCCTCATGAAAACTGATCGATGTTTATCTGACGCAATAACTACAATTTCTAAACTACATGTTTAGATCTGATTTTTAAAGGCATCTGTTTGAACGATTTTGAGTGTCAAAAGTCAAAGAAAATTGTGAAGACAACGAACAGTGATTGATCTCAAAATTCTTAAAAACTATACAAATTTGTGAACTGGGCATAAAATATGGACCTTTGGAAACTCTGGAGGTGGGATCAGGTGTTTAGGAGGTGTAGGCACTACCAGTCAACCTATGTATTGATCAGGTAGACGTAGTACCGAGTATTCCGCAGTCAGATTAAGTATTAAAAAATGGCCAAGTAATTGGTATAAAACATGTCAGTATACCACCCAATGATAGATTGTATTTGCGAACAATGTCATTATAACGACCATAAAATTTTCGAAACGCTGACCCTCAACGATGTTTTTGAAATCCCTGTAATATCAACTTATTTGTCAGTAGTTTCTCAGTTAAAATTAAGTTGGGAGACATAATCACCATATACAAGTGATAGTGAAATATTATTACATAAATAAGGATGGTTGACGATGGAAAAATTTGTCATCTCGTTTGTCAGATAGTTTAGTTGTTAGCTGGACATTATCGCCCATAGTTTGTAAAATATCCAAGTGGCAGACTTTGTGGTGTCTTTTACTTCACTGGGATATATCCAGTCGACGTATAAATGAAAGTAACGATTGTTAATTGATAAAATGTCGTCGATACATTTCTAAATGTTGAATTGAAGGCCACAGCAAGAATTTCCTTCTCATGTAGAAGTTTTCTTTTTTTAAAATTCTGCTTCATGGGAATATAAAAAAAGGTTGGTTAATAAAGGAGCACAATTAGTGTCCAGCGCAATTCAAGCAGTTTGTTGGAAGACTTCATTTTGGAATAATTCATGAGTCTTCCGGCAAAATAATGCAGAGATCAATTATACAATATTTTACATACTTTCAAGTACTCATACTTCAACAAACAATCAACAAACTTTTTTTGCTTGTATAATTATACAGATATATTAACTGCATTATTTACTTATATAACAATTTCAACGATCTTGTATTTAATTCCCTAGGATCTACAGCCTGGTCGCTACAATGGCCCATCTTATGCTGCAGAAGCCATTCAGAGAAGTTTTCCAGACAACAGAGATAAGATTCGTATCTTAGATGTGGCAGCTGGTACTGGTTTGGTTGGAGAAGAGGTAACTACCATGATAAACAAACTTAAGTATCATAAATTTTCATTCAGTGATTCTAGTATCGATACATCGGATTAACCACATACATGTTATATTGCATTACACCAGTAATATTGCGATACACCAATACATTATATCGATGCTTCGTATTATGAACATCTTGAACATCTGACCAATCTCGTCAGAAAAAAATAATTCATTCTGTATCATAAGTATTATTTCAATATTCAAGATGAAGAAAAAAAAGATTTAAAAAATTAGATCTGTGTCAATTGTTCTCTCTCTCTCTCTCTCTCTCTCTCTCTCTCTCTCTCTCTCTCTCTCAATGATTAATGATGATTTCAAATTTGATCTACTATTGATACTAAACTATACACAATTAAAGTTAGTACATATATTCCATATATTGCAGTTGGCCAAGCGAGAATTCAAAGAAATCCACGCTCTGGACCCAAGTGAAAGCATGCTCATGAAAGCCAAAAAGAAGAATGTTTACAAAAAGTATTTATGCGAATTTGTGAATCCAGAACCATCTCCAAACATCGAAAACGGTAATTGGATTTTTTTAGTGAAAATATTGCATTTTAGACCTTTTTTAATCATTGTTTTAACTTCTTTCTATTATGATTTGATTTGATATGTTTAGATGCATACCACTGTGTTGTTTGTTCGGGCGGATTTGGAAGCGGGCATATCCCCTCCGGTGCTCTAAAGGAATTGATACGAATAACAAAACCAGGTACCATCTACGTTTTATGCTGTTTACTACTCTGCCAACATTTCCAAAAACTTTTTAAAATGATATATATTTACGGGTCTCTTTAAAAGTCGCATCCTCTCAGATTCTAATATTACATATATATAAATGTATTTGTTTACAAGACATCTTCTTTGAACTTGTGTATACCATTCTTCAAAGTTTCATACATTTTAGCATTTTAACCTTTTTGTTTTAGGTGGAATGGTGATAATTGTGATGAGGGAAGAATACTTGAATATTCCGGAATATGCCGATAGCCTGGAACCCCTTATGAAGCAGTACCAGAACGAAGGACTATGGATGTGTATAGAAAGATCTGTCGTCCACAAGTATTTCTGTGAAAAGTACGGGGTTATATTCCGGTACAGAGTTCTACATCGCCATTTATAATCCAACACAGGCATTTTTAATATTGTAAATATTGTAATTTATTAAGAGCTTTAATAGTTCCATATCATGAACATTTTACTTTTTTTTTTTTTTGAATAAGCAGGGTACATTCCATCTGTTTTTGCAAGTTTTAGTCACATACTTGTACGTTTTCCATTACATGTATATCATTCATTCCTTTATTTAGTACTATGTACTATAGGCACATACATGTAATTATATTTACACATTTTGCTGTTATACATGCACAGAGCCAGTCCATGTCATCCTTGTTCAATATTTATGCTGTTCTGTGATTTGAACAATTATTTATTATGTATTGTTTTATTTTAATAAAAACTATATATATTGTTCAACATATTCAGATTTGTTTTGTGTCGTGAGGACATGGACCTGTTCTTTTTTAATAATAAATTCTTAATACTAGTAGTCTACGATTTCAAAATTCAAAACGTTTGAGCAAGTTCTTGCAAGTGTTTTCGTCACAATTTACCAGTGGCGTTTGATACAAAATTTAAAATGTGACCAAAAAAGAAATTGGTTGATTTGTCTATGGTGAATTGTGAAGATAACGAATAGAGAACATTTGGAGACCAGGACATCTATTCACAAAATATCTTACGATCAGTCGTAGTCGTAAGATTGTCATAAGCTTTTTTCTTAAGATTTTTGGTTATTCACAAAAAATTGTACGTTTGAGGTTACGTCAAAAACAGTCGTTAGTTTACATCTAGTCTTTAGTTGACGTAAGACTATAAATACTATACGATAACGTAGCTAACTAAGATAAACTTAGTCAATTTTTGTTTTACATGATCTAATTGATAATAAAGTTAAGATTATCACCTTTTCTACATCACATTTTTAAAAATTGTTTTGAACAAAAACAGATTGAATGGAATTATTATTGCCTATTTATCTTAATATGATGGTCCTCTTTATAAAATCCGAATAGCAATCAATCAAAATGTCAAAAAGACTTTATGGCGAATTGATTTTTTGTCGAATGACCAGGTATGGGTACATGTGAAGTGTATTCAGTTGTTCGTGGAACGTGTCAAATCAATGATTAGAATTGGGGAGAATTTAAATGCTCTATAAAGTCCTATTTAGTAGCGCATATTTAGTGAGATAGATTCACACTAACAAGAGAGTTTACAGTTGGTCACTCTGAGGTTAACACTTGCTACTCTAGATCTATGAACGACACTAAAGTGTTAAATAGTATACACGCTTGCTATTTTTTAACATTGACTTAATATTTGCATAAAATAAAATAGAAAACAATGATCGTTATGTATACGTTGATCAAAGGGACATAATTTGAGTTATCGAACGTTACATTATGCATTTCACAAAATACAATCAATCACAAGAATGAATTCTATAAAGAAGACGTCTTTGAAGGTAGGATGGTGGGGGATGTTTAATTTCATGTAGAAGTACAGTACCACATCTTTTTACGCAGATGATAGTCTGGCTATTCGTACCTGTGACGCGTTCATAGAGCGAGTACTGTATTGGTGCTCGCTGCATGGGCGCACAGGTACTTGTGGACAGTATCCCCCCCCCCCCCCCGAATATACCCCACAGGTCAAAAAATATTTTTATGTATTTTTTTCATAAATTATTCTTCTAGTACACATTTACAATGTATTCCATAAGAAAAATCCAAAAAATAACGCAGAATTAACGTTTTACTAAAAAATCATACCCGCGGTATTATAAAATAGAAGAAGGTAAGTCACTTCCATTTGTTTACACTTGACCCCTCTTGGATATCAGGCCCGAAATATCATTTACCTAATACATGTCACCAAAATGTGTCATGATATCTTGTTTCGGTAGATATTTTTGTCTTTAATCGTGCTATTTAATTGCCCAGGCATTCCATAATAATCCGAGTATTCATCGTCAAACGTGAAAAATGCTACAAGATTTGGAAATGTCAAAGTAGAAATTACGGAAGTGATGCAAAAACGTCACTTAGCGTGTAACTCTCGAGTTCCGAGTGTTATAGAACTAAGGGAAAAGTCAGAGGTCTACGAAAAAGTTCGGGAAAATTTTGATAAAGAAGTCGAAATTGATTCATTAGAATTAAATTCTGCTTAAGATTTTCGAGATGAGCGAGGGTAGTCGTCAATATTCCCTTTAAAGGATGTTATCACTGATATCAAATAGCGGTTTAAAAATCGCTTAAACATTATAATCTCTTACATGTACCCCCCCCCCCCACACACACACACGGCCGCCTTCCCCTTCTGCGTGGACATGGAATTTTCATTAAATTGTTTTTGCGGAAAGGTGGATATCCGTTAAATTAATGTGGTAGTAAATATAATATTTAGAATGATAAACTAGTTTTAAAAATAAGTAAAGACAGAAATGTGATTATTTAAAACTGTACAAAAAATCTTTTTTTTTCCATTTGTTATGAATTCGCTACATGTATAATCAATATTGATTAATTTGGGGACGGGGGCTGTGCACGGCATTACAAGTTACAGTGTTGGAGAAAAACAATTGACCGGTTGATGAATGGTTGTACAACCCATGCAATATTTAAACGTCAAAAGGTACGTAATACAAGTTGCAATCATAGGCGTCGGAAGCAAATTAAAAGTGGGGGTGGCTAATTGAAAGTGGGGGGGGGGGCTAAACCAACAAAAAAAGGTAAGCTCCAATTTTCAATGCCTATATTATGTATATCTTTGCAAAAAAGTGGGGGGGGGGGGCTAAGCCCCCCTAGCCCCCCCCCCCCCCCCGGTTCCGACGCCTATGGCAATTATCTAACTGTGACTGTTAGATAAGACGTACCTAAAGAACTTTTTTAAAAGTCTTTATTTTATAGAAGTTAGGCTTCCGTTTGTTCAATTAAAATAATAGCAGCTTGATATATATGTAATCAAGGCCAGAAATCAACTCAGCAGTGCGACGCGAAAGTAAAGAAGAGCAAGAAATTTTTTTAAAAAATGGGGTTCTGATTTTCATTCTTAAGAATTAATATTGGAAAGACTCACACTTAAATTCCTTGGCAAAATATAATCATCGCATAAGAATATTTAAAAAATACACATAATTATTAAGCTTAATATTATCGGAATTAATTGCAAGCATGTCCATGTAGAAGGGGAAGGGGGGGGGGGGTACATGTCTTGTAAGTTGTAAATAAATGTTTAAGCGATTTTTAAACCGCTATTTGGTATCAGTGATAACATCTTTTAAAGGGAATATTGACGACTACCCTCGCTCATCTCGAAAATCTTAAGCAGAATTTAATAGCAATTCTCTGTAACCACTTAAACTTCTTTGCCACGCATGGTCACCGATTTTGATGAAACTTTGCCCATTATTACAACTTGACTCCAGAAACATATATCAAACAAAATTTTGTTGCTATGTGTCTTGGTTGCCATGGTAACAGCCAGAAAAGTTGAAAAAATTGAGATTTTCATCTACTTTAAATCTTTATTAAACCTTAATAAAGACTAAGAAAAACAAACAAACCATTCTCCCAAAAACATGACACCTTGTTGCCACTTATGCTATAAAGAAACTATTTAGAATTTATCTCTAAGTAAGTGGTAACCATGGGTACATTAGGAATACATTTTAGATGCTGAAAAATGCTGAAAAAGGCTCTATAGTCACAAATGACAGATGTTACATGATCAAACTCAATCAGCAACGTAAGAAAAACAATGAAAAATATTTGACCTTATGTAATTAAGTATTGGCAATATAATTCTAAAAATAACTTTCATGGTTGCCATGGTAACACAGTGTCACCATGCAAAATCTGTTGCTATGATTGGGTTAATGCTACTATCGTGAGGAAAAACAATAAAATTCATGACTGGCATATATGCATCCTTAGGACCTTGCAACACCGAACAACATATGGAAAATTGAGATTAATTGTTACTTTGCAGTGTAACCATGGAAACAACATACTAGTTGTTTAAAGTGATATTTTTTTGCTGCTTTAGGAATTTACTAACCTTTTAATCAAAAAACATATTATTTGAATCACCTTGAATAGTACTTATCTCGTAGAACTAAAGTTGAATATCATATATTGATAAAGGTTGTTGAAAAATACAACACTGTTGCTATGGTTACCAAGAAGAGAAAATGTTCGATTTTGTTAATTTTTTGTCAATATTAGACCCTATGTACCAGCTTTTTGCATCCAGTTAGAGATTGGGTGATAGTCAAAATTGAAAGTCAGGTTAGTTGTTCACATATATCAGTCATTAAAGTTTTGGGAATCTACATACAACGGTACGTATCCAAGGAAACAGATTATTTTTCAGATTTTTATGCATGTTTTTTCGCCTTATTTCCATAGCAACGCACTATTTAAAGAATTGAAATTGAATTTTTTGAAATGTGAAAATTAGGGTCACACCAAGGCCTTTAAAAACTGATCATCAGTTATATAGAAATATGCTTTTTAAAAAGATAGGATAAGATTAAATCACTAAGAGAATAAATTTAAAATCCCTTCGTGGTATTAAAACCATGGCAACCATTGCCAACCTATAAGAAATATCATATTTTGTCCTTGGTATATGTTACAAGGATCTCTTCTCTATTATTTGCTTGCATTTCAACCTATAATTGTTTTTATTCTTAAGTGTATGACTTTATAAAATTAAATAAACAAAATTATTACTTTTGAATACTTTGTTTCCATAGTAACGTATGTTATAGATGATTTACCAAACATGTTTATCATGCATGTAAGACACCAGGCCTTCAACTTTCAGAAACAGTCATTGCCATTTGTTTGCTTTGCTGCAAACGTTAACTGTGGGACTCTGAAGATGTTGAAAAATGCCATTTTTCAAATTTTAGGACATGTTGCTATGGTAACCATGACACGTAGCAACCAGTTTTTGCCTGATTTGAGTTTACGGTATCAAAGACTTTTATCATAGTGAGTTTGGAGAAATTCTGAGACTATGCGTGCCACAGCTCCTATATAAAAGTTCAAGTCATTACAGAGAATGGCTCTTAATTCTAATGAATCAATTTCGACTTTCCCGAACTTTTTCGTAGACCTCTGACTTTTCCCTTAGTTCTATAACACTCGGAACTCGAGAGTTACACGCTAGGTGTCGTTTTTGCATCACTTCCGTAATTTCTACTTTGACATTTCGGATTTCCAAATCTTGTAGCATTTTTCATGTTTGACGATGAATACTCGGATTATTATGGAATGCCTGGGCAATTAAATAGCACGATTAAAGACAAAAATATCTGCCGAAACAAGATATCATGACACATTTTGGTAAATGATATTTCGGGCCTGATATCCAAGAGGGGTCAAGTGTAAACAAATGGAAGTGAC